CCTCCTCGGGAAACCGGGCTGCCTGGGAAGCTGGCCTGCTGCTGGGCCCCTCCTGGCTGCCCGTCTCTGGACAGGGAGGTGGGACCGGAGCCCAGGAACTCCCTGGAGGAAGTCAGGCGCCCTGGGAGTCTGGACCAGCTCCACTTTTCCAAAGGCCAGTCCAGCTCTGCCAGGAACTGGCTTGTGACCTGAGGGTGGCCAGGGGCCTCTCTCTCGGCTTCAGTTCCTGCGGAACAAGGGTGTGGGAGGCAGTGACCTTGGACAGGAGCTAATGCACCTTAAAGCACTTAGGAAGGTGCCTGGTACACAGTAAGTGCTCAATAAGTGTTGTCATTACTAAATATTATTTGCAAAAACATACAAGGGCCGGAGCATTTTCTAGAACATCAGCTTGTGCTTGCCCCAACACTCCACCATCCCGTAAGACATGAGCCCACCCCCACTTACCCCAACCTGCTCACTGAAACCCCCTCCCCTCCCTCAGCAACCTCCAGTTTTTGGAAAAAACACAGGCTTCGGAGGGGTGCAAAGCTGCCCTATGCTCCAGTGACCTTGGGCAAACCCTTTCCCCTCTCCGGACCTCTTCAAGGGCTGGCACCTGGGATTGCCCCACCCCCACCCCACGCAGGAGCCAGGCAGGGGACTAAGGCCTCAGTTCTCACACACTCCCCTTCCCATTGCTCCCTTAGGCCCAGACTCTTTTTTTTTTTTTTTTTTCAGATTTATTTGAAAGACAGACTTACAGAAAGAGAGTGAGAGGAGATACAGAGAGATCTTCTGTCCACTGTTCATTCCCCAAATAGCCTCAAGAGCTGGGGCTAGGCCAGGCTAAAGCCAGGGACCAGGAGTTTCTTCCAGGTCTCCCACGCAGGTGCAGCAGCCCAAGCACTTGGGCCATCCTCCACTGCTTTCCCAGGCCATAGCAGAGAGCTGGCTTGGAAGTGGAGCAGCTGGGACTCGAACTGGCACCCAAATGAGATGCCAGCACTGCAGGCCATGGCTTTAATCCACTACACCACAATACCAGCCCCCAGATTCTTTTTTTTTTCTTCCAGTGGACTCTGGCCCTTTGAGCTGAAGCATCAACAAGACTCTTGGGCCAGGAAACACAAAGCTATCAAGGTGCAAGTGCACATCTCCAAATTGCTTCTGGGCCTTCCCCACAGCCCTACATGACAGGGAAGGCTCTGCTTCTCAGCCCTCTAACAGGAGATCTGAGCCCAGAGAGGCTGTGGGGCTTGCCTAAGGTCACACAGCTAGGGTCTGTGTGCAACAGCCAAGACTCTTTCCTCGGGGTCCCTGCTTGTCTCTGCTTCTGTCCGGACTAAAGCCAGAGTCCTGTCTCAATATGTTGGCTGGGGGGTGGGGAAGGCCTCTGGGTTCCATGCATAGGTTAGAGCGTGGCTTCAGTGTTCCCTGGGATTCTCCAGGGCAGGGGCCCAGAGAGGTGAGGGGGTTGCCCAAGGTCACAGAGCAGCCTGGCACAGCCATGCATATCTCCTTCACTCGGTCAGACTGGAAGGTCATGGCCAGAAAAGGCGGGAACAATCATCATCACAACACTAACAACAGCTTGAGAGCCTACTGTGCACCAGGCATTGTCCTCGGCACGTCACGGGCACTCGCTCACCCAGGCCCGTGGTGAAGGCCACTCTGCAGAGGCCTGTGGAGCTGAGAAGGGGGCAGGGAGCAGGAGAAGCAGACGAAGGGGACACAGCGCCTTGATTCACACAGGCTGCAGACAGAGTCTTTACAGCATGGCCACCAATCCTCTCCCCCGTACAGGCCAGGCGCAGAGAGGCCACACAACCTGGCCAGTTAGGACCACCTCCTCCCGACATAACCACACCCCCTTTGTGATGAGGCTTATGCAAACCCCCGGCCACTGCACATCAGGCCTGGGCCTGCTGTTCCTGTCCTGAAGGCAGCTCCACACCCACACGGGCCCTTGCCACACTCCCAGTTTCAAAAGCCCCCAGCCACAGAAGAAAGGCACTGCAGTGCTGTGGGCCGCCAGCAGAGGGCACCATAGCAGAGCACCCAGCTGGAGTGAGAGCCATCCTGTTCCCGTAGCAGTTTTTCTTCAGAACATGGCCAGGGAATTAGCATCCTGAGTGAGAGAGAGAGAGAAAGGCGAGGAGAGCAGCCACAGGATGTGTCAGGGTGGACGCCAAGAAAACAGCAGCACTAAAATCCATCTGGGGACGCTGGGAGTGCTGCTCCTAACAGCCAGCTCACGCCGTGGGTTCCGTGTGCCAGGCCCTGGGTGGGAAATCCTGGTTCTGATCTCCTGGCTGCACAACCTTAGGCCTGTTCCTTCCCATCCTCGTGCCTTGGTTTCTCTTCCATAAAATGGCATCAACCGCGCAGTCCAAGGGTAGAGGGCCTTCACGTCGTGGGGGGAGGGGCTCACACCTAAGTGTGAGTTAGGTCATTCTGTCTCCTTACTGCTTGTTTATTGGTGGGCTCTCTACCACAGAGGCACAGAGAAGTAAAGCAGTTTGTCTGAGGTCACCCAGCTGGGACTGGGAAAGCCAAACTCATATCCAAGCAAACACGAAAATAGTGCTCTGGGCCAGTAAATCATCCTTTTACATAATACCACGCACCACTGGCCAGGTACCACCCCAGACAGATCCCACACTATTCCCATTTCCAGAAAAGAGACTCAAGGCACAGGCACACACTGACTCACGCAAGGTCACCCAGTGGGACTCTGAGTCAGAAAACCAAGTGGCCCTTCCCATGCCACGGCCCGGGACCACATGAAGTAGAGAACGGTCCTGAGCCCAGGTGGACTGGCCCTGCCCCCAGCAGACCCCACCGGGCTGGGGAGTGAGGCTGGCCCGGCAAATCCGTATCACTCGGTCCTCAACTGCCTATGGCTGCTGGGTTGAGCAACCCAGCCATACCCCTCCCAGGGCCCTCCCAGCTTGCGGGAAACAGGGGAACAGAACAGTGGGTTCCCATCCTGGCTCCACCCCTTGAGCAGGTGCCCCCAACCCCTGTGCACCTGGTGCCTCTTAACTACAGCAAGAGTACCGTCGTGAGGATTCAGGGAGAGGTTGGCAGTGAAGTACTTAGCCCAGAGCCTGGCACACGGCGAGTGTGCAATAAATGGCAGCTGTCACGATTATTCATGGTTACAACGTGAGCAAAGACAGAGGGAGAAGGAGGGGTCTGGGAGGGCCCAATGGGTACCGAACTTGGTCTGAACATTCTGGGAGCGGGCTGGGTCCTGGGGTGGGAGGCAGGACGCTCCCGACCAACAGCAGATGGGAAGGGAGGAATGGGACGCTAAGAGCCTGCTCACTCAGCCCCACCCCTGTTAAAAAAAAAAAAATGCCACCACCGCTCTCCCTGCCCCGCCCCCATCTGACCACAAAGCCACTTCCTACTGAGTCCTCCACTCCCACACTCCCCAATTACTTCTGTGTACAAAGAGCTCTGTGCCAGCCGCTGCAGGAACAGAGGAAAAAAACAAGGGTGCAGCCTCGCCTACAGGGCTGGGAGGCAGACTTCACCCTGTGACACCCCAAATGCCAGGAGAGAGGCAAGAGCCCGGAGGCTGACTCAACCGGGCTGTGGGAGGGAACAGAAGCTGCCCACGCTGCTCAGCCACAAGTCTGCCCGCCCGCCACCTCGGAATCCCGGTCCTACCCGCTCCCACCCGCTCCCACCCGTTCCCACCGCCACCTCGGAATCCCGGTCCCTGCTGACAATGCCCTCTTCCGCCTGCTCGCTTCAGTCGGGGCGGGGAAGGGCAACCAGACCTGAGATCTCAGAGGGCAGGGGGAGAGGGTCCAGCCTCCAGACCTGCCGCACCCCAGCCGTGAAACGTCCCACAGGGGCCTCTCCTCTGCTGTTCGCTCAAAGCAGAGGACAGCGCGAGCGCTCAGTAACTACCTGTCCGGAGGATTCCTTTGCTCAGTATCTGTCAGAGACCGCAGAGAGCCCACCCCTGCAGGGGGCACTCTGCAAAGGTGCTAGAACCAGGTAGACCAGAGGAGGCAGAGCCAAATCAGGGTGGCCCCCACGGAACCCCCGGGAGAGCCCCAGCCTGCCCCAGCTGGGGCCCATGGCACAGGGGGTTTCTGGTGCAGCTCCGGTCCCCGTGCAGAGAGGAGGAAAGGTAAGTCAGCAAGACTTCCGGGGAGCAGGGGCCTGCCACACACTTGGCAGGTGGCTCTGACCGGACTGGGGTGCGTGGGGGTGACAAGTATCCATCACACAGCCACTCTGAGCCAGGCACGTGTGGGCACTCACATCAAAGGCAGACAATTAAGTCATCTGCAATGAAGTCACTTTCTCAAGCAAGTAAACAGGCTCACTGGAACAGCCACCACCCCCACAGCAACTCCCGCGGGCTCCTCCGTCACCTTCCTCACTGGGCAGGGGGGACCCTGGGGACAGCTACCTGAGCAGTCTGCTCGTGTGTACAGGGCCTGCACGGCACCTTCCTCTCTCCACTCAGTCCTTCCAACCACGCTAGGGGCGGCTGTCCAATCACAAGCTCCATTTTGCAGATGGAAAAACTGAGACGAGAGGAAGTTGCAGGGCAGGAACAGCAGTGTTGTGGGAAAACGCCTCTCGCTCAGACTGCTATGTCTCAATCTTGTCGGCCCCACCACTTAGCAGTTGTAAGCTTAGCCTGTTTGCTGTGGACCCCTGTGGCTCAGTTTCTCTATCTGCAAAGTGGGTATGGCAGTAAGCTCTTCACCGCGTGGCTGTGAGCACCTCGGGTGACCGTGAAGGCAAACCAGCAGCAAAGCACGGGGGCGCGTGTTTCACGGGGTGGGAGAGAACGATCTGGACCCAGGAACCCGACCCTGGGAGCTTAGGCGCACGCCTGCGACCAGAGGCCTCCCAGCGGCCATCCTCGCCCAAGAGCTGCCAGAGCACGCTGCGGGGCGCGGGAGTGGCTCGCCCGGAGCGGGACGCCCTCCTGGGGAACTCGTCCTCAACGCCCCCGTGCCTCCTGCACTTCTCGCCCCCTCCAGGTTACGCCCCGCACTGCCTGCCTCCGAGCAGCTACGATGCCGACCAGAAGCCGGGCCTGGAGCTGGCGCCGGCAGAGCCCGCGTACCCGCCGGCGGCGCCGGAGGAATACAGCGACCCCGAGAGCCCGCAGTCGAGCCTGTCGGCGCGCTACTTCCGCGGGGAGGCGGCCGTGACCGACAGTTACTCCATGGACGCCTTCTTCATCTCGGACGGGCGCTCGCGGCGGCGCCGGGGCGGGGGCGGCGGGGACGCGGGCGGCGCCGGGGGCGGCGGCGGTGGCGGCGCCGGGGGGCGCGCGGGGCGCACGGGGGCGTCGGCGGGCGGCGGGCACCGGCACGCGTGCGCCGAGTGCGGCAAGACGTACGCCACGTCGTCGAACCTGAGCCGCCACAAGCAGACGCACCGCAGCCTGGACAGCCAGCTGGCGCGCAAGTGCCCGACGTGCGGCAAGGCGTACGTGTCCATGCCCGCGCTCGCCATGCACGTGCTGACGCACAACCTGCGCCACAAGTGCGGCGTGTGCGGCAAGGCCTTCTCGCGGCCCTGGCTGCTGCAGGGCCACATGCGCTCGCACACGGGCGAGAAGCCGTTCGGCTGCGCGCACTGCGGCAAGGCCTTCGCCGACCGCTCCAACCTGCGCGCGCACATGCAGACGCACTCGGCGTTCAAGCACTACCGCTGCCGCCAGTGCGACAAGAGCTTCGCGCTCAAGTCCTACCTCCACAAGCACTGCGAGGCTGCCTGCGTCAAGGGCGCCGAGCCGCCCCCGCCGCCCCCCGCCGGCGCGGCCAGCTGAGCCTGCCGCCTGGCCCGCGCGCCGCGTGCCCCGGGCTCCCCACCACCTGCGCCCGCAGCGCCCTCTCCAGCCCCAGCTGCAGTCCCCTGTCCACGCTGCCCGTGGGCACCCCCAGCCCAGCCCAGAATTCACATCTCACTTCCGGCACTGTCTGCCCCCGCGCCCCATGACCCACGCCGTCCTTTCCGGCTACCGCTCGGACCTCCACCTCCTGTCCAAGGCCTTCAAGGCTCCCAACTCAGGCACCAGGTCCGCACCTCTCCCAAGCCCCGGAGCCGGAAGTTTCTCTCGCCCAGACCCTGCGCCGCCTCACTTCTGCCCTTCTTTCTCTTCTCAGCGGAGGCGCAGACCTTCCCTTGACCCCCAGGCCAACCTCGGTGTACCCACCCGCCCCTGGCAGCCCTCAGACCCCAGTCCAACCCCAAACCATTCTCTGGCCTCTCGGCTGGGTCTCCCTATATGTGCCCCTCTGCGAGTCGGATCTCCCGGTCTGCCCTGAACCCGTCCGTGCCATTCACAGCCCTCGCCTCACACGCGCACGCACCACACACGCCCGCTCCACTCGCCAGGCCCCGGGGTTCTCATCGCTCGCTCCCAGATCCCCTCCTCCCTAGCAGACCTAACCTCTGAGTTTCCCCGACAGAGAGCGGGCTCGGGGCCTCGCCCCTAAGGTAAGCCCCTCTCTCGGGGGTCTCCAGCCTCCAGCTGCCCTCCCCCGGGGCCTCTGCGCACTTTCCCCATCCCAGGACTCCAGTACTGGCCGAAGTCTGGAGGCCTCACCCGCGCCCTTCCCCCGGTCCAGCTGGGCCCTCCTCGTTATTTATTTGCGTATTTATGTATTTATTTATTTATGAGTCTATTTAATCTCTCGGTCTCCCCCAGGGACAGACTGGCTTCCCCAGCTGGACTGGTGGATCAGGAAGCCAGGCACGGAGAGGGACGAAGGCCATAGAGGACTCCCCCTGCCACACACACACCCACACACACACACACACCCACACACACACTCTCTGTCTCTGGTCTCAGGGGAACCCTCGCCCCAGAGCCTTGCTAAGGAAGGGGACACTAGAACAGGAGGCGTGGTCTGCTGACCCTCAACCAGGGCGGCGCAGCGACCTCAGGAGGTCCTGTCGTGGGGCAGGTCCCCACCCTCCTGAGCCCTCCGCTCGGCTCCAGGGAGCTGGGAGAGGGGGATCCTCGTTTGTTTCCTGTTTTTTCCTCTTGTCCAGGACCCCAGGTTCCAGGGACCGACTGAGCCCCGGACCCCACTGGGGCCTCTGGCCCGCGCCCCGGGAGGAGCGCTCTCTCCCGGCCACGTCTATGCAACTGGCCCCGGGCAGAGGGGCGGGGGCTGCCAGCCCCCCGCCCGTTGGCCGCCACTACCTCCTCTGCCGCAGCGCTTCCACAGGCCCGGGCGAGGAAGAAGCACACGCCTCCACGCGCACGGCCCGGCCCCTCTGCTTTAAGCACACGCCTTTGCCCCCAACCCAAGGGCAGGAGTCCAGACTCCTCCAAGGACCCTCCTCTGCCACCCCTGTCTACCAGCCACCGTGCAGACCGGAAGGGCCCTGGGGCTTCAGAGAGGTGGGTGGTCCTTTGCCCAGCCAGCTCCAGGCCCACCGGGAAAGGAGGCGGCAGGGACGGCAGGCGGGCGAGGGCTTGCAGAAGCAATTACGGAGGGTGTTGACCCTGTAAATAGGAACTTCTGACAGCAATAATTTTCCATGCATGCTAAGCCTTTTGGCCATATTTTGTATGAGCGCTTGGCGCTCCCTTTTCCTTCCCCCAAGTCACCCCCAGACCCCCATCCCCTCCCCACTCTCAGCAGTATTACTTGTAACGCAATTCAGGGATATTAAAGGGACTTTGGCCACTCACCAGCGCCTCCAGACCTTGTGATGGGGGAGGGGAGAAGGGGAGGGCATGGCAGGCAGGATTCTTCCTCTCTGTTTGCCTCTGCATCCTGCGCTGCCTTACCTGGCACCAGGGGTCACCCAGGCCCCTCCCAGGTCTCCTCAATCCTAAACAGTCCTCAAAATTGGGCTCAAGAACCAAAGTAAGAGCACAAGTGAATGACACCAGATCCCTTAAGACAGCAGGGAGTGGTACAGCCTGTGGCTCATCAGCGAGTCTGTCTCACCTTAAAGAACCGCAGTCCAAATCCCCTGCCCCGTAACTGTGGAGTGCATCTGTGTACCACAGCCAGTTGACAACCCCTGGTAAGCTCTGCCCCACGTCGTCGCCTACAGCTCTGCCCCGATTCTGCAGTCACACCCGGGCCATGTATGCACCAAGTGCAGGCATGTGGAGAGGCTGAGTGTCTCAGCAGACCACGGGGCTGCCCCGGAGCTGGCGGGCTGCGGGCATGGAGACGTTCAGGAAGCTGCTGGTCAGTCAGTCCACACTCTGCAGCTTCGGCGTGCCTGCAAAGTACAGATCTGTCCTAGGTCTTATACAAAGCTCACTGGGGACGATCAGCCCCCAACCCCCAACCCACTCTCGCCCAGAAGCAGGGCGGCGGGCAGTGGGCACTACCACCTCCCCTGGGGCCTTCTCGTGGGGTTCCTCCTTTCGTAAGTGGTGTGCACAGTTTTTAGACCACCTCTCTCGTACCTGCCTACACATTGTCCCTTCACACACCTCTGGGCAGGTGGCTGTGTTCCTGGCAGTGTGCTGGGTGTGCCCAATACCGACAGCAGCCATGGGAACTCCCCGGCCCAAGCAGTCTCCAGCAGGCACCTGCTGCACTTCCTCACCCTCCACATACACGCCACACCGTGCCCTGCCCTGGCGACTGTTACCCATCTCATGTGCGTTTCAGGCTCAGGGAACAGAAACTACTCTAGATCCCTTTGAATCCAAAAATATTTATATTGGGTGCTGGCAGCTGGTGAAATTCAGGGCAAGACTGGAAGACTGAGCCCTCACCCGGACTTCTGGATCCCCAGGAGACCACTGCCTCTCCCACAGTCAGACACGGGGATCAAGAGGCTGTGCTGAACGACTGACGTTGAGACTAAAGCATGGCAGGTGCCACCAGGGATGGCGGGGGGGCTGCCACTGCCGCTATAAGCTTCCTCTGTGCTGACACTGGAAGACTCCACAGAACATGGCCCAGGACCATGTGGACAGCAGCAAGAGCCAAGGCAGCAGGAAGATGACCCTGGTCCAGTTTTGCCTACGGAAGTACATCCGAATGGCAGACCACGACTCACTGTCAGTTCCCTTGTTGCAAAACAGTCTGAGGAAAGTGGTTTTGAACTGTCCAGACAGGCCCTGCAGAAGGGAGGTGGCAATGGGTGCTGGGTGCCCGTGGGCAAAGTCCAGTCCATTTGTCCTGGTCCCTCCTGGAGAGGAGCGTGCAATCTGGGAACCTCCGTTTCTGGAGGATCTTGACTGGTCAGAGTGACACCATCCCCTGGGTTCACAATGAGCACATTCCCCGATTCTGGCTGCTGAGACTAGAAGAGAGAGGGCTGCTGGAAGCTTCTGGAAAACTTTGCTGCTTTCTTCCTTAAGAAGTCCAGACCGTCTTCCCCTTGAACATGAACAGGGCAGCATGTCGTCTTGTGACCATGAAGGGAACCAACAGCACGCAGCCTGCACCATGGGTGGAAAAGTGAGGACAAGGAAAAAACCCATGTCTCTGATGACGTCAGGGAGCCAATGAGCAAAGCGCCCTGAAACCCACGCTCTGCGAGCCGCTGTGTGGGACACAGGTGAATTACCGTTTAAGTCGGTTGAATCAGCTTCCTGTAACCCGCAGCCCAGAGCACCTCAGTGGGCTCACGCTCCAGTCTGCTTTCCCCAGCGGCCTCTGAGGCCTTCAGGACCACCTCCCCTCCCCCAGCCTCTGCTTCCCCTCCTACCAGCCCGGCTGCCGCACCCTGCGACTTTGCTACACAGAGGAAGGGGCTCCCGGCCTGCTCCGGGTATCTCATCACACCCCGGCTCCCGTGTGCACCCTCGTGCACCACTCCAAGACTTACACTTTCATTGCTGGCCTTCCCTGCAGGCTACCTCCACTTGAAAATCCCCAGAGCTTCAGCCCCACGCTGAAGCCTGACTCCGTTCTCCTCTGGGGTCTCCCACTTGCACCCACCCACTCTTACACAAAAACCCAGAGGTCATGTCTCCCACCTCTGCCTCCCCCACCAGGCTCTGTCCATGTTTCCCCTCCATTCTCTGGGCCCCAGCCTGGCCAGCTGCACTATTACATCTTGCCTGGGCCACTGGACCAGCCTCCTCGCTGGTTTCCTTCACTCGTCTGCCTCCCTGCCTCCCTGCCTCTAGCCACAGCAGGCCACAGTTCAAAAATGCAGATCCGATCATATCTGACTTAGTCTCCTTAGACGGTTGAAACAAACCACCCTGGCCAGGCTGGCTCACAGCCAGCGGGCACTGATTGCTCACAGCTCTGGAGGTACGGAAGTCCCAGACCAACGTGCTGGCAGACTCAGGGGCCGGTGGGACCTCCTTCCAGGTTCACAGACACCCTCTCGTGACACATGGGCAAGGGAGCTCTCCAGGTCTCTGTTCTGAAGGCTCAAGTTCCAAGAGGACTCTGCCTCCTCCTGACCGTCTTCCAAAGGCCCCCTCCTAACCCATCACTTCGGGGTTCGGAGTTCAGCAGGAGGAATTGAGGCGGGACATGCAAGTGTCTCAGCATTCCAGCTCCAACCACTGCCCAAAGCCCAACCTGCTCACACACAAAGCACCCTCGTCACATCCCCACATCCCAGCTGCCCTGAGAGTCCTAACTTATGTAGCATCAAGCCTCAAGTCTAAAATCCAAGTCTCCATGGAACTGGGGAGCTGTTTCCCCAGTCAGCCAAGGCACAAGGACACCGGGGTGCGCTGTTCCCCAAGACACGCTTCTGAGATGCAGTGGTGGGACAGGCCTGGGACAGCCTGTCCACTCCATGAGGAAGAGGAAAGAAGAGAGGGCCGACAGACCCAGCGAAGGCCGAACAATGCAGAGCCCACGAGCTCTCTCACGGTTCAAACATAAACCATTCCAGCCCAATACCCTGCCCTCCAGGGCCACTGCAGCGGTACTCCCGACCCACTAGGCCGCGCCTCAGCCCACTGGGCTCCAAGCAGCTCTGCTCCGGTGGCTGTGGAGAGGGGCTGTCTGGTCTGCCACAAGCAAGGCCATGGTCCCCTCTTCTGAGACCCAGGAGGCACCCGATGACCTTGACCTTCCCTGTCTGAGCTGGTACCCTCAGCCAAGTCCCTGCACAGTCCGATCCCGTGAAATCCGAACGCACCTCACAGCGTCGCTCCATGCCTTCCCTTCAGCACACGCTGCCAGTTTCCCTGCTGGGGTGGCCAATTCTGCCCATGACCCACCCCCCTCACCGCCTCTCACCCAGGGCCCCGGCCCCCTCACCCCCTCCTCACCCAGGGCCCCGGCCCCCTCACCCCCTCCTCACCCAGGGCCCCGGCCCCCTCACCCCCTCCTCACCCAGGGGCCCTGGCCCACGCTCAGTGTCAGCTGTCAGATGCCCTTTTTCTTTCTTTTTTTTAAACCTGGATAGGCTGAGAACTTTCCAAGTCTTTACATTCTGTTTCCTTTTTGCTTAAAAATTCCATCTGCTGGAGTTGGGGGTGTGGCAGAGCCGGCTAAGCCACCACTTGTGATGAAATGAGCACTGGTTTGAGTCCCGGCTGCTCCATTTCCAATCCAGCTCCCTGCTAATGCACCTGGGAAAGCATCGGAGGATGGCTCAATACCTTAGGCCCCTGAACCCGTGTGGGAGACCCAGAAGAAACTCCTGGCTTCGGCCTGGCCCAGTCCTGACCATTGTAGTCATTTGCAAAGTGAACCAGCGGATGAAGGATCTCTGTCTCTCCCTCTGTGTAAACATTTGTTTGTTTACTTGAGAGGCAGAGTTACAGAGAGAGGGAGAGGCAGAGAGAGATCCTTTACCTGCTGGTTCACTTTCCAAATGACTCCCCAAAAGGCCGCAACAGCCTAGAGCTGCGCTGATCCGAAGCCAGGACCCAGAGGTTCTCCCGGGTCTCCCATGTAGGTGTAGGGGCCTGAGCACTCGGGCCATCTTCCACAGCTTTCCCAGGCTGGATCGGAAGTGGAGCAGCTGGGACTCGAACCTGTGTCCATATTGGATGCCGGCGCTGGTTTTACCCCTTATGCCACCGCGCTGGCTGGTAACTGCCTTTCAAATAAACAAATAAATCTTTTAAGAAATCCATCTTCAAGCCATTTCTTTCTGCTTGCATTTTACTCTGAGCAGTCGGGAGGAGCCAAGCCACACAGCCAACACTGCCTTACAACGGTTGTGGCTCAATGTCCACTTTCCTTTTTCTTTTATTTCTTTTTAAAGATTTATTTATTTACTTGAAACTCAGAGTTATACAGAAAGAGTAGGAGAGGCAGAGAGATAAAGAGGTCTTCCATCCACTGGTTCACTCCCAGCTGGCCGCAACAGCTGGAGCTGCGCCAATCCAAAGCCAGGAGCCAGGAGCTTCCTCCAGGTCTCCCACAAGGGTGCAGGGGCCCAAGGACTTGGGCCATCTTCTACTGCTCTCCCAGGCCATAGCAGAGAGCTGTATCGGACGTGGAACAGCCAGGACTTGAACCAGTGCCCACATGGGATGCCGGCACTGTAGGCAGCAGCTTTACCAGCTACACCACTATGCAGGCCTCTCAATGTCCACTTTCATCACGCACAAGGTCTGCCTTCCCCAAACGCTGGATTCCACGGGCACTCGGCCACGTGCTCTGCCTGCCCTCCGCCACCCCCCTCCCCTCTCCCCCCGGCCTCGCGAGCATGGAGACTCCTCTCGGCTGCCTTTTCCCTCTGCATCAGGGCTACCTGGGCCTCTCCGTGATGACCGAGGCTTTCTCCGCGGCTCTCCGCACCGGAATCACCTAAACGGTCCACACCGCGCGGCGGCTTCTTGCTACACGCATCTCACAATTCCCGCACCTTCTGCCTACTGCGCCGCCCCGAAGCCACTCCGGCCGTCTCAGACACTTGGTAAAAGGAAGCCGTGCACCCACGGGCCAGCTCCTGTCCTCACCGCCCTGGAATCTGTGGAGGATAAATAACATCCATTTCTTTCTCACTCTGGAGCCTGGGATGCCCTAGCAAAGGGGCTGACGTCTTGGGGTCTGGCGCGAGCCACTTCCGGGATCTGAGACATGGGCTCCTCACGGAAGGGTAAGGGGCTCTTCCGGGTCTCTTTTCCAGGGCACTAATCCCCTGCGGAGGACTCTGCCCCCACGGCCTAATCACCTTTCAGTGTTTTGTTTTGAAAGATTTATTTATTTATTTGAAAGGCAGAGTGTGTGGGGGGGGACAGAGAGAGAGAGAGATCTTTCATCTGTTGGTTCTCCCCTCAAATGGCCACAAAGGCCAGCGCTGGGCCTGGCTGAAACCAGGAGCCAGGAGCTTCTCCTGGGCCTCCGACATGGGTGCAGGGGCCCAAGCACTTGGGGCCACCTTCTGCCTTTCCCAAGAGCATTAGCAGAGAGCTGGATTGGACGTGGAGCAGCCAGGACTCGAACCAGCGCCCATGTGGGATGCTGGTGGGGCTTTACCAGCTGTGCCACAGCACTGGCCCCTCTCAAAGACACTTCTGACGCCAACACGCTGGCAGTGGGAGTTCCAGTTAGGGATGTGGGGAGTCTGCAAACCTGACCGCAACTGTGGGAGCTGGCGTTCCCCTCAGTCACCTCCTTGGGGGTCCCGTGCTACGCTTCTGCAGCACTTCCCACCAACGTCTCTTTTCATTTATTTGGGGGGGGGAGAGAATCTTCCATCTGATGATTTATTCCCTAAATGCCCACAACAGCCAGGCCTGGGTCAGGAGCCTGAAACACAATCCCGGATGCCCACATGGTGGGAGGGACCCCAGCACCTGGGCCATGACTGGCTACATTACAGGGTGTCCATTAGCAGGAAACTGGAATCAGCAGAGTCAGGACTTGAACCCAGGCACTACAGGTTCTAGGCACAACACGTGGTGCCTTAACCGCTGCCCTCAACTTTTCTCTTCATTCTGTTTTCCATGAACGCTTTGAAGTTCACTGGGACTAGTCTGGAAGTGTGGACCGAGACCGTCAAGATCTGTTAGTAATTTTCAGTGCAACACAACAGCTCACAGCGAATGAGCACTCGCGATGCCTCACACTGTCTCCCTCCGCCAGGCAGGTGACAGCACTGTGGCTCTTGTGTGGTGCAGGAAACTGCTCACAGACAGGTGACGGGTCCCAGGTCAGCCATGCAGCGAGATGTGAGACCTGAGCCCAGACCAGGAGCAGGGCCAAGGAGGAGCCCGCAGCGAGTCCCCCACACTCTGTTCTGCCTCCTGCCGGTGAGGTCTGAGCCGAGTGGGAGGGGACCCAGGAGCAGAAATGAGGGACAGGAACAGCACAGTGGCTGGGAAGGCGTTGGCTCGGGCTGGGGGGCACCGGTCAGTCCCAGGCTCCCGCGAAAGGGACAGTGGCTGGGAAAGCGTTGGCACCCCGGGGCGGGGGGGCGGGCACCGGTCAGTCCTAGGCTCCCAGTGGGTGACAGGTGCCAGCACACCCAGGGCAGCAGCTCAGCACAGGGCACGCCCTGGACAATGTTAGTTCCGGGCTGTCACGTGACTCGCTCTGTCTCCTGGATGGGAGGAGGACGGACAGGAGGGGGCCCTGGTGAGCCCATGAGAAGCCATCTAAAAGCTGCCTCAAGGCCCGGGCTCGGCAGGCACCAAAGCTTCGGGAGAAAGAGGCGGCTCCTGTGCACGAAACCGGAACAGGAGGGGCCGAGCCTGGTGCAGCCGTCACAACGCCAGGCATACGGGCGGCCCGTATGCCGTGTCCCGGTGCCGGGTGTGGGTCCTGGCTCCGCTCCCAATTCCAGCTTCCTGGCACTGCTCCCCCTGGGAGGCAGCAGCTGAGGGCTTGAGTACTTGGGTCCCTGCCACCGGACTGAGCTCTGGGTTCCCGGCTTGGGCTTGGCCCAGCTCTAGCTGCTGCAGGCATTTGGGGAGGGAACCAGTGGATGGAAGACTTCTCCCTCCCTCCCTCCTTCCCCCTCCCTATCTCTCTCTCTCTCTCTCTCCATCTCTTTGCCCTTCAAATACAAGCTTGAAAAAGAAAAAGAACAGGGATTTAGGGACCAGCGGAGGGCACTAGGAGGCGATGGAGAGGAAGCCAGCGTCACGCAGCGCTGGCTGCTTGGAGGGAGGGGCGCTGACGACTGGGCGTGGCTTCCGTGGCACAGAAACCCCGCCCAAACACTCAGCAAAGTGCTCTGCCGGCCCAGCTGCCTCTCCTGGGAGACCCTTGGTCAAGGAGAGAGCTTCCGGGCCAGCGCAGCCGCCGAGGCACGAGCGGGCGCTGCTGGCGGCTCAGGCCAGCCGGGGCAGGGAAGGCGCTTGTCCACTTAGCTCTGCCCTGCCCCTGATCCCCGCGCGGGGTTCGCCGAGCGCTCGGGTCAAGTGCACGGCAGCCCCCATTGCCTGACGTGTGACACCCTCAGGGCAACCTCCATCAGTGAGGGGCGGGAGTCAGTGGACACACCCACCCCTGCGCCTGGGGGGGGGGCAATCCGGATGCCTCGTGGCTACAGGACTTCTAGGGCTAGATGGAAAAGGCCAGGAAGCTTCCAGCAGGCTCTCTTGGGACACCTGCTCCTGGGAAGCCCAATGGAGAAGCCATGTGCAGCGGGCGTGCCTGACAGCAGGCAGGGGTCCCGCCAACAGGCAGGTTCCCCCAAGCTGCTGAGCCCGCGGCCCAGTGTGGAGAGCGCCAAGCAGTCCTCCTGGGGGCGCCCCCTCTGTGAGGATAACAGAGCGGTCAGCTGAGGCCGCTGAGTGTCGGAAGGGTTTGCTTTGCACCATTAACTCCACCTCCCCCCCCCCACACACACACACCAGGGACATGCACCCAGCCCAGACGGAGACACCAGCCCCCCGCAGCACCCCGCCCCAGGCCTGCGCTGGCCCCCAGGGAAGGCCTCTCGCTCTTACCCAACCACAGGCTGCTGTGGCCGACATAACAGCACTACTGACTGGACGGGTGTGTGCAGCTCTTCTACGGTCCTGGGCCAGGGTGTGGAGCCTGTCCCACCCCCACCCCTCACCGCCCTGCAAGGGTGGGAAGCCCGGCTCTCCAGGAGAAAGCGAGGCCAGGTCCTGCAGTGCTGTTCAGAAATCAGGGGCCACGCACTTCAGGGCAGGGTGAACCTGCTGGGGTTCAGAGGTGAGAGCAAACAAAGCCAAGTCCTCTGTGGCAGTCTCACTCCCCTTGCCAGGGATTGGAGTAGGCACGGACATAGGATAATCTTCTTGCCCTTGGCGTGGTGGGGGGAGGCGGCTCTTTGTTAGAAAGAGACACAAGGGGGTGACTTTACTTCCACCTGTGAACGTTGTGAGGTAGTGTGATGTGATGTGATGTTCTGAGCTACAGCAGCCATACTGGGACCATGAGTAGCAAAGATGAGGACAAAGCCAGATGCTAGGATGATGGCACATAAAGATGGCGTGACCCTGGTCTTGGGTGACACTGTTCAGCCGCTCTTCACCAGTCTTGGAAGTGAGAAAGCCAATCTTCATGTTTAAGCTCTTTTAAGTTGGGACATGTGTATGGTAAGACACCGAATTTGATACCAGGAGTAGGGTAACAGCTTGATGAGACTGAGGTCAAATCTCCATGTTTCCACTCCAAAAACCACTGTCCTGCCCTCCTGACCTCCTGTAAGGAGGAAGACCCCTTCCCTCTCAACAGAAGTCTCTAATCTCAGTAATTCCTGGGCGGAAGTGCGGGTGGCAGCTCCACTTCCTGAGCCGGGACCAAGTGCAGAAGCCGAAAGTTTCCAGCGACACTCACAACGGCCTCGCCATCCTCGGTTCTGGGAGGAGCCGGAACGGTGACTTTCTCCGGCAAAGCGGGATGCCAGAGCCCCAGGCACCGCGGTGATGGGCAGCGTCACCTCCCCGTCCACGTGGGGCTCAGAAAGCCAGTGACGGCCGAGGGCACGTGGCCCTGCGAGGAGAGTGCTGTGGCTCACCTCTCAGCGCCGGGGTTCAAGCCCCAGCTCCACTCCCGACCCGGCTTCCCGCCAGGGCACCCTGGGGAGCAGCTGCAGTACCAGGCTCCCTGCCGCCAAAGTGCAAGACCCAGCAGAGTCCCCGCTCCTGGCTTCAGCCTGGCCCGGCCCTGGCTGTTGCAGCTTTCGGGAAGTGACCCAGCAGGTGGAAGATCTCTCCGTCTGTTTCTGTATCTCTCTGCCTTTAAGATAAATAAAAATAATAATAGAATTTATTTAAAGAAAGTGTCACCTGTCTCTCCCTCTCTCTCTAACTCTACCTCTCAAATACATAAGTAAATCTTTAAAAAAAAAAAAAAAAGTGTCAGTAACCAACTGGCAGCCTCCCAAGGGCAGGATTCCAGGGAGCTCCGTGGGACAGTCGCTGCGGATGAGCCACGCAGCGCGCAAGGGTGCGGAGGGGCCTCTGGGGCCGGGCTGCTGGACCTGAGCCCCAGCTCGGCCACTCAAGCCCCCTGCCCTCGGGTCCAGCGCCGCCACCTGGGAAACGGGACCTACCTGGCGGGGTCGGGAGTTACTACACAAGCAGCGTGCTCTCCACGCTTTGCAGCCAGCACCGGCTTCCGGGAGGACTGCCGTGGGCGCCGCCGCTTCTGCCGACTCACGCCTGCTCGGCAGGTCCGGCCACCGCCCGCCAGCGCGCCCGGGGCCGACCGCGCCTCCCCAGCGCCGGGACTGCACACTCACCCTGAGTCAGCCCGCCGGGCGCGCCCACTGCCGGGCGCCGCGCGGCCCGGGGGAGGTTGCGGGGCGCCCCCCGGCGGCGGGCCCGAGCCGGGCGAGCCCAAGCCCGGGGCCGCGGGGCGGGAGGGGTTGGGGACCGGGCCACCGCGGAGCCGGGGCCGCGGCCGCACCACCGCGGGGCTTGGGGAGGAGCGCGCCCCCCGACGCCGCACGGGCCCCCCGCCCAGCCCCGCCTAATGGTACGGCCCGGCCGGAGTTAAAGCCGCGGAGGCGGCGCGCGGGGGCGGCGGCGCCATGGGGCTGCGAGCGGGCGGCGCGCTGGGCAGGGCCGGCGCGGGTAGAGGGGCGCCCGAGGGGCCCGGGCCGAGCGGCGGCGGCGGCGGCGGCGGCGGCAGCGCGCAGGGCAGCAGCATCCACTCGGGCTGCATCGCCGCGGTGCACAACGTGCCGCTGAGCGTGCTCATCCGGCCGCTGCCGTCCGTGCTGGACCCGGCCAAGGTGCAGAGCTTGGTGGACACGATCCGGGTGAGGCCCCGGGGAGGCTGGCCCGCCGGAGGGAGGGCGCGGGGCGGGGAGGTCGCGCCGAGGGAGCCGGGGCTGACTGGGCGCCTGTGGGCGCTCAGCCGTAGCTGTGTGACCTTGGGCGACGGTGTGCCTCTGCTTCTCGCTTGAGCAAGGAAGGGACGAGCCAAGACGGTTAAAAGAAGGACCGGCGATTCCTGTAAGACAGCGCCTGCCCCGGCCCCGGGGGCTAAGTTCCTTAGCGTCCTGCACCCACCCTCCCAGGTAGATACCGGCCCCTTTTCCCAGGTGAGAACCGAGGCTAGGGAGAGTTCTTTTTATAGCAACGTGCCCAAGGTCAGGCGCGTGGAAAGGCCACGGGCAGCCCCGTCCCAGCGTCCCCACTGTCCAGGGAGGGGCTGTCCGGCCCTTGTGGGGACAGCAGGACCTGGGGGTCCTGATCCTGGGGGGTCTGCTGAAAGGTAGTGGGGAGGGCGCTGGGGGAACCCAGTGATGCTGGCGGGCTGGGGCTGGGGCTGGGGGCGCATGAGCGTGGGTCTGGCCGGGTACCCTTGGCATCCTGCCCCCTACTCCGGCCCTGGGCAGGGGGGCAGAGGAGACCCCCTCGTCCCACCAGAGGCTGCCGCAGCCAGGAGGTCTTCAGTCCTGGAATGTGCCTCGCCTCCCCACACTCCCAGCCCTGCCCCAAAGCCCACAGCCCCGGTGGTTCCCGCTCCGCCTCCTGGCCTGGAGCCCTGGCCCCTCTAGCTGGCCAGGGTCAGAGGCATTTTTCCAGGTAGCCCCATGTCCATCAGACATCGTCCACGTGCTTATTCCCTTGTGTCTGGTCTGTCTGCGTCATCTCCTGTGAACTGCACACGAGCAGGAACCTTGTCTCTGGGCTGTTGTCCCACTGCTAGCCCCGAGCCTGGCTCTGTGGGAGGGGGGATCTGGCTGAGCGCCCTCCTACCTCTGGGCCTTTGTACAGGCCTCCCTCCTGCCTCGTTGCTCCCGACTGCTACTTGATCTCCCGTCTTCGCTGACGGCCCCTTCGTGCCCACCAGCTCGGCTCTCGTCCTGCTGCACTGTGACAGCCTGCATGGGAGCCCACCTTCCCTGCTGGGAGCCCACGTTCCCCCGGGGGCAAGGACCGGCTCTGCTTTGCCTGCTTAGGGTCGGAGTGCATTCTGCGGGGCACAGCGCCACAACCCTGAGGGTGGAAGCCCATGCCCACGTAGTTTGTAGTTCTGTGGTTCAGAAGTTTGAAGGGGGGGCTTCCTGGGCTAAGCCCAAGGGGCGGGCAGGGCTACCCCGCTCCTGGAGGGCCGGAGGGGGGGCGCGTCTGTTCCCTGGCCCGCCCAGCTCCCGGGGGCCGCCCTCTTCCGTCTTCTCAGACTGTCCTCTTCCACTTTCCCGTGGGTTACACTCACACCAGTAGGTGACCCCGGCTACTCTCCCATCTCAGCCCCAATGCCCTGGGCACTGTCCTCCACCGCGTCAGGCAGCTGAGTCACGGGCTCCGAGGGGCAGGACGCGGACAGCTTTGGGGGCCTTCGTTCTGCCCCCGCAGAGCCCCGTGGCCCCCCCGCGAGTGCTCCGCCTGCCCCTCGACTCCTCACGCGCAGCCCTACAGCGTGTCATATTCCCATTCTACAGACCCTCGCCCGGGGTCCCCCAGCTTTGCTGGGACACAGAGCTCCGTCCCGAGGCTGCAGTGCCTTCCTGCCTAGGGATCCTTCCTGGGGGGAGGGTCACGTGGCTATTAAGTGGCAGAGCTGAGATTTGAAGGCAGGCCGTTGGGGCTGTTAAACTCTTCCACTTCTCTCTCTGCCCAAGTGGGTGTCTGCTTCGCGGTCCCTTCACAAAGGCCTTGTCACCTGCATCGTCATGTCCACAGCATTTGTGGCTCTGAGAGTCACCTCTTGGTTCCGTGGACCCCTCTGGTAGGAAGCCCTGGGAAGGCTGGGGCTGTGTCTGTGTCGTTCCAATGGTGCCTTATTCCCAGAGTCAAGGTCAAGGCCGGAGGCCGTGGTACCCAGCCTGGCCCTGCGGGGCGGGGGCATCCCTCACTCGTAGCCTCTGCCCATTTTTCTGGTGTAAACACTCTCGCCGTGGCTGATGCTCCGGCTCCCAGGGAGACATCAGCGAGCTCACAGACCCCCGGGCCCCTCGCAGCCGTGTCTCGCGAGCCCTGTAGGAACTCGGCACGGCTGCCAATGCGCGCCTCGCAGACTGCCCGAGCCTGCACCCTGCCCACTCACCCCGTGTCCCCTTCTCTCCAGGAGGACCCGGACAGAGTGCCCCCCATCGACGTCCTCTGGATCAAAGGGGCCCAGGGCGGTGACTACTTCTACTCGTTCGGGGGCTGCCACCGCTACGCAGCCTACCAGCAGCTGCAGCGAGAGACCATCCCCGCCAAACTCGTCCAGTCCACCCTCTCGGACCTCAGGGTGTACTTGGGCGCGTCTACACCGGACTTGCAGTAGCAGCCTCGTTGGCACCTCCAGGAACTCAGGAGACGGAAGCTGGCTTCCCGCGGGCTGGGCCTTGGAGCAGGCGGAGCAGGCGCAGTCTCTTTGCTCCCTTGGGAGTGAGGGTGTGGCTCCAGGCCGCAGGGCCTTCACTAGCCGCACAGCCTTGGACTTACGACGTACAGGGTGGGAGAACGCAGAATCCTGGCCTCCCCTTGCAGGCTTGCGCAGGGGGAGAAACGAGAAAGGGGATGGGTTTGGAGAGCCACGTGCTGCCGGCTTCTGATTCCCAAGGCCCAGGGCCTCCCGCTGCCTTGTCTTCATATAGACCATGGCGTGGACTCCATTCCACTGCAGTGGCTTAAATAAACAGGCTTGTTTCCACACAGAACATGATTCTGAAGAAGGGAGGCTGAGTGGTGTCTGTGCAACAGCTCAGTGAGGCAGGGCTCACATCTCCGCAGTCCTTGGTGCTTGTCACTTCACCGTCACAAGGTGGCTGCCGTATCTCCAGGATCACATCTATATTCAAGGAAGACTGAAATAACAGAAGAGGGAGGGCCATGCCAGCTGCACCTGTCAGCTCCTATCAGAAAGTAAGAGGCCCTGTGTCCTCAGTCCCCCTGCATATTGCCACTTGGTTCCTCGGCCTGAGCCCGCTGCCACCACCACCCCTAGCCACAAAGGAAGCCAGGACCGCAGGGGAGATGGTCACGACTGGGAAGAGCAGTCGTGTTCCGTCTCCCGGGCCTGGCACGCTGCCTCCCAGACGACAAGTGGGACCCATTCCCGAGAGAGGCGAGGCGCTGCACCAGCCGGTGCAGGTCGTGAGCCGGCCCAGGCTCTGCAGCCGGCAGTGGGTCGTTGTTTGCCCCCGGTGAGGTTGGCGAGGGGCTGGACTCGCCGGGCCGTCCTGCCAGTCCAGCCGGGGGTCCGCCATGGGGCCCTCATCAGCTGTCTCCTCCCGCCGCGTGCCCACCTCTCCGAGGCGACTGGCTGGCAGCTGGGTCAGGCGGCTCCCTCACGCGAGGGTTCCAGGAGAGTGAGAGCTGATGCCACCAGACTTCTCGAGTTCTAGCGCGGGGTTGGGACAGTGGGACGGGGTCACTGACGTTAAGATCTTCCGGTCACAAGGGGTGACCTCTGGATGGGGAGAGCCGTGTGGAACTTGTGTGTGTCTTGTCTATCACAAATACGTTTGGGTGGGCAGTCTCTCTCTCTCTCTCTCTCTCTCTCTCTCTCTCTCGGGCTTGCTCTGCCCAGTCTGCAGTCACTGAGACATTGTCCTGGCCCTCAGGGCCTGTGGGAGGTGGGTTGGAGGGTGGCCTTGCTCTCACTGCCCCCAGGAGTGGGTCCCTTGGCATTTCCAAGCCTGGGTTTCCCCAGCTCCGTGGTGAGCATGACAGCTCTCCTGTTCCTTCTGTGTCCCGGGGAAAGATGACTGACTCCGTGACCCACAGGACTGGGAAGGGATCGAGTCCCAAGGGCGAGGTGACATCCTGAAGCAAAAGGACGCGAGTGGGAATGCTGGGAATCAGATCAGCTCTGGACTGGGACTCTGCACCACGGTGATGTCAGGTGGGTGGGGCTTTGCACCATCCTGTAAGTCTAAAATCATCCCTAGATGGGAGTGTATGGGATACACAGGGGGAACACAATTTTAGGCCAGTGGTTTGGGTCCACGCTGGGTCGCTGACTTCCAGGTTGAGCGGATGCACTGTCCAGAGACCAGAGCTAAGAGCCACTTACGGTGATGGCACCCATCCGTCCACACAGCAGAGGAGACGCCTGGGTGGTGCTCGGGAGCTCTGTGCTCTGGGACCAGTCTGAGTCCTGTGCAGCCCTGGCACGTCTGCCCCCCAGGCTGGGGTTGAGAGCCAGGCAAGCTGGGGACTTGGTTCCTAGGTGTTTCCATTCTGATGTGCGCCTGTGCGGTGGGAGTAACCCTCCGCATGCCCCCTGGGCTGGGACAAGAGTTAGCAAGGATGAGCTGGCGCTGTGACATAGCAGGTTCAGCTGCTGCCTGCAGCGCCGGCATCCATATGAGAGCCGGGTCAAATCCCAGCTGCCCACTTCCCATCCAGCTCTCTGCTATGGCCTGGGAAAAGCAGTAGAAAGATGGTCCAAGTCCTTGGGCCCCTGCACCCTTGCCCACAAAGGAGGAAGCTCCTGGCTCCTGGCTTCAGATCCGCGCAGCTCTGGCCTTTGCAGCCAATTGGGGAGTGAACCAGTGATGGAAGACCTCTCTCTCTCTCTCTCTCTCTCTCTCTCTCTCTCTCTCTCTCTGCCTCTCCTTCTCTGTGTGTGTGTAATTCTGACTTTGAAATAAATAAATAAGTCTTTAAAAAAGAGCAAGGGTGGCCGGCGCCATGGCTCACTAGGCTAATCTTCCGCCTACAGCGCCGGCGCCCCGGGTTCTAGTCCTGGTTGGGGCGCCAGATTCTGTCCCGGTTGCTCCTCTCCCAGTCCAGCTCTCTGCTGTGGCCCAGGAAGGCAGTGGAGGATGGCCCAAGTGCTTGGGCCCTGCACCCCATGGGAGACCAGGAGAAGCACCTGGCTCCTGGCTTCGGATCGGCGCAGCGCGCCGGCCTTAGCGGCCATTTGGGGGTGAACCAACGGAAGGAAGACCTTCTTCTCTGTCTGTCTCTCTCTCAAAAAAAAAAAAAAAAAAAAAAAGAGCAATAAATAAAAAAAATAAAAAAGAGCAAGGGCTTCTCCTTGTTTTTAAAATATTTTACTGTATTTATTTGAAAGGTAGAGTTACAGAGAGAGCTCTTCCATCGGCTAGTTCACTCCCCAAATTGCCACAACAGTGGGGGGCTGGGTCAGGTCAAAGGCAGGAGCCAGGAGCTTCTTCCGGGTCTCCCACGTGGGTGCAGGGCCCAAGCACTTGAGCCATCTTCTACTGCTTCCCCAGGCACATTAGCAGGGAGCTGGATCAGAAGTGGAACAGCCAGGACTCAAACTGGCACCTGTATGGAATGGCAGTGTTGAACGCTGTGACTTTACCCGCTACAGCAAAACCCGGCCTGGGGTTTCTCCTTGCAGAGAAGATCCAACCCGGCGGCCCTAGGCACTCCTCCAGGCCCTGGGGGGCGGGTTCAGAACAGACTTGGGAGTGGGAGGGAGGGGTCATTTAAAGAAAAGGAGCCGGTGGGTTCTGCCGGGTGAAACCTGCTAGCAGTCGAGAGTTGCATTTCCCAGTTGCGCCGGCAGGTGGCAGTGCTTCCCTGTCGCCAGATCAGGGCTAGGGCTCTGGGCTGCAGAGCGACTGTTGTGGGGAAGGGGCTGCAGTGGGGAAGAGGCTGGAGGGGAGGGCCTGGCCTAGGGAGGCCTCCCAACCGCCCAGAGGCGCCGAGGGTGCAGGCATGAGAAGGCGACTGCTGGGAGTCTGGAGTTGCAGGTTCTACTTACTCTCTGGCGCTACGGCCTTGCACACCTCACGGCTGTCCACACAGCGGTGCTGGACTCCTCAGCAGGGGCGGCGCCCCTCTGGAAACCTTAGGCCCCCCGGGGCTGGGCCGCTTGCCTCTCCAGGGCTCTCAGGATCCCATGACCACACCCCTGCCCTGGAGCTCGGCTCCAGAGAACAGCAGTATGCAGGGACCCCTTGGCTTCACCCCTGTCGCCATGGTAGACTTCGTGGTCACTAACGAGGGGCCTCCCCCAACCACGCCGTCCACCCCTCTATCTGCCCGCCCAGTCTCCTGTCGGTCCCGGCATCCATCGCCCTCTCTGAAACATCTTCTGCCTCTCTTCCTGTCTCACTGTTAGCTCCACGCCAAGAGCGGCGCCGAAACCCAGCCAGGGCCAGCCGGGAGCTGCTGAGCGAACGCGACCCACGCGGGCCCGGCTCATTCTGTTCTGAGGCGCACACGGATCCATCTGCGAGTCACTTGGGGGTGTGCACTCCCCCCCGCCCCCATCCTGCATCGCGGCTCTGTGCTCTCCGCTGCGTCTCCAGCAGTGAGGCCAGCAGCCTGTAGGAGGCTGGCAGGTGACCACAAGTGCGGCCCCATCCACTGTAGTTGGGAACGCTCGTCCCTCCCCCTGCCTGCCAATCAGTGCTTCCGAGCCTTTTGGAGCAGTGATGTGAACGTGACGGAAGCCCCGGGAAAGCCTGAGCCATCTCCAGAGGCGTGAGCATGCGCAGATTGTGGGCAGTTCTGGGGGCTCCCTGCGCGCCTCCCCCGGCGCCCCTGGGTCAAACACTTGGAAGCCCAGTCGTCCTGTGAACCTGGAAGCTAAGGCGCTCAGCCGGGGCGTGAGAATGGATGAATGAACGGATGGGCTCCAGCTTTGTTTGGGTTTTTAGGTTTTTTAAAGATGCATTTACTTGAAAGGCACAGGTGTCAGAAAGAGGAAGCGACATCTACCATCACTGGTTCACTCCCCAAGTGGCCTTGAAGGCAGAGGCAGGCCAAAGCCAGGAGCCAGGAGCTTCCTCCGGGTCTCCCACATGGGTGCAGGGGCCCAAGCACTTGGCCATCCTCCGCTGCTTTTCCAGGCCTTGGATGAGAGGCAGCGCAGTAGGCGCCCGCGTAACCCGCTGTGCCACAACGCAGTCCCTGCTCTAGTCTCTCGGGGCTAGAGGAGAGCGAGCAGACCCTGCCTCCCCAGAGAACCACCTATCTGGGTCACCCCACCCCCGCCCTGCCCTGGACCCCAAGGGGTCTCCGAACTCCCCCTGTCAGCCACCAGCCTGGCCAGAGGTCAAAGCAGGGACCAGGGAGAGGCGTGGAGACAGCCAAACTGCACTGTGTGATCCGGTCCACGCCGCCTCCCCCACCCCCCAACCCGCCCCACACTTCCCCGGAGCGGGACGTAGGGCCCGCTCGCTACAGGTCATCACCGCTACCACCTCGCCACCATGGCTGCCTTCTTCCATTCTCAGTCCCCGGGAGGTGACAGGACAGAACCGCTCTTTCTCAAGGGCCAGACAGGTAAACTGATGCAGAGTGCGGAGGCGGAGCTGCCCGCGCGCACAGCCTCGGGAAAGGGCGGCGCCGCCAGGCCTCGGCTCGTCCGCTGCGCCCGCGCCCGCGGCGTCTTCCCCGGCCCTGACCCCGGCTCTGGCTGACGGATGACCTCAGCTGCCGCCAATCCATTGGTTCCAGCTCCCGGGGGGAGCGCAGAACAAAGCGCGCTTTGTGGCGGGGCCGTCCCCGCGGCCGGCGCGTCCGCAGCCGGGACCCCCTCCGGAACTCGCGGCGACGCCCCCCGGCCGACAGCCGTGTAATGTCTTCCAGCCCGCGCCGCTCCCGCGCGCCCCACCCCCGCGCGCCCGGCGGGCTCGGCGGCGCCTGCGGGTCCCTGCCCGGGCGCACGCGGGGCCGGCGCGGGTGCCTGCCGGGTGTCCGACCCTGAACTGCGGTGGGTACGATGGTGGTC